ATACCAGTTTCCTGGCTGAGACTGAAAATGTGGTTGGCAGTGTAGTAAGATGGCTCAGGTAGCCAGGAACTGAGATTATGTTTACCATTTTCATAAACCCTCATGGAATAAGCATAGGCTCCAGTCACCCTTTCTTCTATATACACTGTTGCTTTCAGCAGGAAGGAAGTATCATTTTCATCTCTTGGTACAATGAAAGCACTGAGAGTCTAGTTACAGTTTCCCTTAGCGAAACTGAGTTACAGAAGTGGCTGCAGGCAGCTAAAATGCACATGTATTCCCTTCTTCTCCTCCTCCTTTTTTAGACAAATATCTGCACTTTTAATTATTCCATTGCTTTATAGAGGAAGTATTAATTACATGACTGCAAGCATAGATCAAGTTGGGATGTAATTACAGGGTTTACTTTGTCTCTGTTGTCCAACAGAATTAGCCAGGAAGCATTCAGGATGCCAGCAATAGAAGGTGCTTTAAAGCCTATTATGTCTTTGGTTCTTTTAAGAACTCAAGCAGGGATCAAGTGACATTTCTGCTGCCCAGTTGTCTGGTAAAACATGAAAGCAAGTATTAACAAGTTACATTTTTATAAGTTTGTATGTGAACATTGGTAGAACACATCATATGTAAAGGTAAAAACGTATTAGTCGATATTATCATTCTCATTGCTCAATTTTCTTCTTTTTGTAGAGGTGAAGATGTGTAAGTGTATTCCTGATTGTACATTTGGCTACTATGTTAATAAAAAAAGATAGCTAAAATGATAAAGAGATGTTTGTGTTACGTAGTTTCTTTTTTTTTTTTAACAGCACTTTCGCTTAAGTCTGTTTTTCTTAAATGTCTGATTCCATATCAAATTTATAATAAAAGCACCTATTTATTTCACTTTTATTCATTTACTTGGTATTTCTTGTATTGTGATTTTTAAATTATTCTCATAAAGTTTAATGTTTGCTTTTCCTTTGTAATTTTTTTTCACAACTTTTCACACAATGACCGTGTTTAGCTTTTCAGCTCCCTTGTCACTGAAAAGCTTTTGATTTTTTTCTACCGTCTCCTGACATGGAAGGTGTCATGTCTGTAGATTCTTTCTGTGATTCCCGTGCCATCTGTCTGCTCGCCCATGTGAGGTTTACTAGTGTTTGTCGTTACCGTTGAGCAGCCAGTCCTCTGCCTTTGCTCCTCCTGCGGTGTCTGTATCCCTTGACTTGTTTTACCTTTAACCCATGTGTGTCACATGCCATGATCCTAACAGTCATGCCAGGCCAGGTTGTGGGACTGTCTTTACTGCTGTAATGCCATCATCGGCATGACTTTTCTTCCATAAACCTGATCGGAGAGGTGAGTCTCCAGTCTCCAGTGCTTATTTTATGGAGGGCTATGAGGTGCAGGTATAAGGGAAGTTCCCTGGTATACAGGCCTGAAGAATAAAAGGAAAAATTATTTTCTGTGCCAACAGAATGATAAAATCATATTAAAAGAAAACTAGATTAATAGAAACCATTACTTCAAGGGCACAGGCTTACACTTTTGACTAGCGTTTTATTGTTTTCTAGGACAGCAATGAAGATTCATTGTGGAGAGCTGAGAAGTGCTGGCTTCTGTCTTCCACCTTCTGATGGTGAGTGCTCTCTGTAGTAAACAAGTCCTTATTTGGCTAAGCCTGTTCAGCTTGTTTGCTTCAGTATAAGAGCAGCCTATCTGCAGGGTCCACGTAGCTCACTAGGGTTGGTCAGTGCAAGGGGATTTAAGCCTGTAGGGAGTTTCTCCGGGTCACCAGAAGAAGCCTGTTCAAGGATCCTGATTAAACTGCTAGATCTTCCCTAAGTCGCGTTTTTCCTTGCTGGTCGAGGTTGGGCACGGCAGTTCATGATTATTTGCTTTGTTTCAGAAGCCAGTGAGAAATTATATATAATGAATTGCTGAAGTTGAAAACAAGGTAAACTGGCACATTAGAAACAAACAAAACTATTCAACAAGAAGCAGTGTGTCTTAAAAGGCTCACACAATTAACAGAAGAAGTAATGATGCAAACTGTAAAAAGCCAGGAAAAGGTCTTGGCTCTGCTTCTCATCGGTGTGCTGTTGATTCACATAGCCAACCTCTCTAAATTTTAGTTGTCTCATAGAAAAGGGGAAAAAAATGTGCGATTTAGAGCCACCATTAAAAAAATATCCAAAGGGGTAATTAATATGAAAGTGCTTACTTGTATTTTATAAGCGTGTTCTCCATTCTTGTACTAGTAAGCTATTTGTGTTTGTAATGAATTTCTCTTTTCAAGCCTGTTTTTAACCTGGAGAACAAGCACTGATATGTTTTAGGGGAAGCTTGTACCAGAGAGCAAACACTGATATGATTTAGGGGAAGCTTGTACCCCAAATTATCAGTGCAGAACCTACGATCAAACAGATCTGTGTTAATTTCCCAGTTCCTCTGCTTCCTGTTAAGGTGATTTTGGGCAAGACATTTACCTTCCTTGCTCTGAGTTGGCAATAATAATGGTAAGAAGTTTAAAGCACTTAGCACAGAAACTAGCATATACGTTTTGTCCTTAGTCAATGTTAGTGATCATACAACAACTGTACTCCTGACTCCTACTTCTCAGTAAACCCATTAATAAGCATCCCGTGTCAGTTAGAAACGTGCTGGTGACATGTCTTTAATCCCAGTACTTCAGAGGCAAAGGCAGGTGGATCTCATGGCCAGCCTGGTCTGCAGAGCAAGTTCCAGGACAGCCAGGGCTACACAGATAAACCTTGTCTTGAAAGCAAAACCAAAACAAAATAAAAAACAAAACAAAGCAAAAAAGGTGGGGTCATAACAGTTTTTGCCTTCTTATACTCATGTAACATAAGGCCCTAGCCTCATTCATATATACTGTGTAATTCTGCTTCATGGGGTTGACATGTTTAGTGAATTAACTGAAATTCATATTTATTATTGTTTGGTAGCACATGGATATTTGTAATGAATATATGTTAATAACGACGATTGCTGCTAAATTACCTTTAAAAAGAGTATCTTGTTTTTCTTGAAAGAACAGTGAATGTAATAGCAGAAACTTTGACTTTGAAGTGTATAAGCCAGTGTTGGCAGTGTGCCTATTGACTTGTAATCTGAACTTTTGATCTTCAAGATATCCATGACCCTGTAATTATATTTATCTCCTTATGCTAAGGGAATAGAAGCAAATTTATGAAGAAAAATGTGACTAATTTTTTTTTTTCATATAAGAACAAATGTAGGGCAATGATGAAATAAATTATTCAGATTTCATTGTTTATATGGTAGTTTAGTTGAGTGACGAAGGAAAGACTAGTATGTGTAAATGATATGTTCAGGTGTGGATGTTATTTACTCACTAATAATTAATAACAGACAGGATTTGGTACTTGCTATGCAACCCATGCTCATCTCAAACTCAGGGTAATCCTCCTGCCTCAGACTCCTTAGTGCTGATGTTAAAATTGTGCATCACCAAACACGTCTTCAGATTATTTTCTTAAAGGTTGAAGTGTTAGTGCTTTCAATTTCTGCAAACTGGGTTCTGGAAGAACTTAGAGTAAGTTTCTGAGGACAGAAATACCAATAATTAATCAAAGATTATGAATGTTTAAATTGCTGATACATGTGTATCTTTCCTAAATTCTTGAAATGTTTGAATTTATTTACTATTTAGTTAAGTGTATGTTCAGCATATCCATTTCACAAAAGACAAAGTAATATTTGTTGTGAAATAGATGACTATCTGCCAAATGACTATTCCCTTTTCTAAGTCAAGAGATGTCAATGGGAAATACCTTCTTGGTTCCTGGTGGGTCTCTTGCCCAGACATGCTTCTAGTTGTGTGCAACATTGTAACTGAGTAGTATACATTGGGAGAGTAAGCAGCGATCTTTCCTCTTCTGTGCTTGCCCCATTGAACTATTTTTCCTGAGTTTCTTCTGTCCTTTCCTTCTCTGGCTTGTTTGATTGGAGAAGACCCCAGGAGGTAGAGTCTGAGTAATTACGTGTGGATGTTTCCCTGCCAATGCATACGAAAAACACCTACACTGGTTATTAAAAGAATAAAATTGATTTCTTCATATGAAACAGACAAATGATTTTAACTTTTTACAGTCTTAAATTTCATTTGGTATAATAATGGTGTCTGGCAAAGCTTAAACGTCTCCATAGTCAACACTCTTAAAATTCTCTACTGGGATAAATAATTTTTATTAATAACAACCACTTTTATTGCAAAGATCAGAAAGCTAACTGAAACAAGCTAAACAATAAGCTGAATTTATTACAACTTCTGGAATATCTCATAGACTGGCAATAGGACCAGTCCTCAGTAACAGCTGGAAATGGGGAATTACATTCTACATTTATGTCTTGTGTTTACTGTTTTCTTCAGGAATCTATTTAAAGCAATTTCTTTTTTACCTGTGTAGATCATATCTGCTCGGTGTTCTGTTTAAAATTCATTCTTTTCAATGAAACACGATGGTTTCACTTTTTAGAATGTAGGCCGTTAGCCCATTATGGAAACTGTTTTAATACCCACATTTGCTGCACTTCAGTCCAGTGTCAGGTTTTGTGCTTAGCACTCTGTAACCCCTTATTCTCAGCACTCAGGTGAGTTTTGAGTCTCCCGATTTGACTTTTGCCAGAAGAGGCTTTTCTGACCAAGAATAAGGGCTGCACCCTGTCTATGGGTATAAGCACAAATGTTTATAAGATCGCATAACTGTATGACCCCATAACAAGAGGTCAGTAGTAGGCTCCTCTACAGTACTTGTGACCTCCCTAGCCATAGGCTTTGGCCAATTTTATAGTGACAAGCATGTATCCAAACCATCCCCATATATATATGTATGTATGTATGTATGTATGTATGTATATATATGTGTGTATATATATATATATATATATATATATATGTATATATGTATATACACACACACACACACACTCTTGGAAACCTTATCAGTAAGTCAGTAAGGGAAAAATTTATTCATGTGTTCATTCAGGCAGCACACATAGTAAAACTGGACTAATGCAGAGAGATTAAGGCCCTGTGTAAGGATGATGTTCAAATTACTGAGTTGTTTCTGGTTTTTGTTGTTTGTTTGTGTGTATGTGTGTTATCTAGGAACAAAAGAGATGTAATAGAAAGACTCTGAGAGATGAGGGAGGAAATGCTAGGTGGTAGAAAAGAGGGCTTGAGGACAGTGGCAGACAATATGATCCAAGTGTGTATGAGAGTATTATCTATGTCATGTGTGAAAGTGCTATCGATTATTGTGTACTGTAAATTTATACTAACGAATCTCATTAACAGAGAGGTGGGGCAAGTGGTGTGGTGTAAGGAGTAAGGTTTTTCCGCCTGCCTCTGGTCTTGCCCTGCCGCCACTCCAGCCCCAAATAGCACACAGAGATGCTGTATTTGATATAATGCTATTGGCCAGTTACTTGTTTCTTATTGGCTAGCTCTGTCTTAATGATTAACCCATTTCTTTTAATCTGCCGGCGTTCTGCTCTCTCCATCTTCCATCTTGACTCCTCCTTACTACTTCCTCTTTCCTCCTTGTCTCCTAGTCCCGCCTATCTTGCTTTCCTATTGGCCAACAGTGCTTTATTCATTAACCAGTATGAGAAACATATTTACAGAATGACATCTCCCATCAGTGTGGTTCTACCATTATATGAAATGGATCTCTGCGGTGGACTGGCGGAATACTCAGTGGTAGAGCATGTGCCTAGCGTGTGTGAGGCCTCAGGCTTAATCCCGACTCCCGCACATAAATCAGATCTTTATATTACACACACACACACACACACACACACACACACACACACACACACGCACGCACGCACGCACGCGTGAGTATATGTATGTAAGCATTTCTGTATATATCTAGGTTAGTATTCAGGATCATGTAATCCAGAGCATGCTTCAGCCCACTTCCCAAGCTTCATCTCTCAGTTTTCCCCTCCAGCTGCTCTCCTTATTTTCTTACTTGTTATATTTTTACATTTTAAAATGTTAGCAATCTTTCAGGGTACGCAGATATGACTGCTTCTTGAAGACTTGAAATAATCTCAGCTTTTCATCAAGTCAGCCGTACTTTATAGTCTGTCTTCTGTTATGGTTGCTGGCATGTTTGTGCTCATCTACCCATAATCCAAATTCATAGGTCTGACATTATTTAGAGCTTTTCTTTCCTTAACAAAAATCAGACTCTAACTAGCAATTGACTAGCACAGATTTTGTGCCACCTAATGGAAAATAAATAGTTCTTCAATTTTCCTATAATCACTTGAGTGAAGTGTTTGTCACAAATAGGACTTTGATGAAGATGTTAAGTGGGTTTTGGTTGGGACATTTGTAAACACACCACTTTTGAGGACTTCAGATGTAGGCAAATTCTTGACATAGACCTGTCTTTACTTTAACATTTTCCTTCTGTTCCTTTAACGCCTTTACAGGTGCATAACTGCAAACACCCAGTCTTCCAACACTCTCCTAAAGTGAGTTCTCTCTGAAACCTCTCCCTCCCTCTCTCCCTCCCTCCTTCCCTCTCTCCTTTCCTCCCTCCCTTTCTCACTCTCTCCCTTCCTCCCTCTCTCCTTCCCTTCCTCCTTTCCTTCCTTCTGGATTGCAGGCCTTCTATGGGCCTTCCTGGATTCTGCAACATCGAGTGTGTCTCTTGTAATTTGACTTGTTAAGTGACACCAGGTGATTCAGTATTAGCTATCCTATTACCTCATCATGGTTAGGCAGCATACAACAGAAACAAATGTAGGGAATCATAAAATACACATCAAACTTCTGGCTCTGTTACATTTGAAAGGTGTTTTAGCAATTCTTAATGTTCCCTCTCCCCCTTTTTTTACACTTAAAACATCCTGTCCTCCTGAACACATGTTAAATTCTTTTTTTTTTTAAACAAGAATTTAACATATGATAAGGATAACACCAGTAGTCTCTGTGGGATAATATTAAGGGAAAACATTTATAAAAAAGTTTATGAGTTCTGTTATGGTTTCACTAGCCCGTAGCTGATGTCTTTACCATGAGATAGTAGTGGTATTTCTTGAACGTTAACGTACTATCTTAATTTCAGAAGTGTGAAAAGTACCATTTCTTCCTGTTGTTAATTTTAGGAAACCGATTCCACGATTGAAATCACAAAATCATGAGACCAGTGTTCTCTTATAACTGAATTAACTTCCTTAGGAACGGGGCTTCGAGAATGGTTGTTCAAAGGTAATCTTACGTGTAACGTGAATAGAATAAACCCAGAGACAGATATTGTGGTTCAAGCTGAAGATCAGAGGGGCAAAGCAGCCAAGCCAGCAGAGAGCTCCCCATGGCTGCGGAGATCCTATCCTCACCGTGGCTGGAAAATATTGTCCAAGACTGAGTGCCGGCTCTGAGACTGCTCCTGTTTTAGATACCTCTCCAGTGCTGGGATTAAAGGCATGTGCCACCAGTGCCCAGCTCCTGTGGCTAACTAGTATGGCTGCTAGGACTAACGGTGTGTGCCACCACTGCCTGGCCTCTGCGGCTGTGACTAGCTTTCCATTTTGATCTCCAGGCAAGCTTTGTTAGATCATAAACAATATATCACCAGACTTCCATTTTCAGTAATTTTATATTATTGACATTTTACCCATGCTGAAAAAAATTTAACCACTAATGTTTATTGGACAGAGCAAAAACAAACAAGCCAAACCAAACCAAACCCAAACCAAATTGATTTAATGCATTACATATAGAAATTTCCCCTTATTACACTAAATTTTAATAGGTAATATGGAATAGTTTATTATATGCTTTATTAAATGCGATAACCCAGTAAGAATGCACATTTATATATTTTTAGTCAATTCTGAGTGAGAGAAGTGGTGAGTAGGAGTGACAGAAACAAGACATTTGTCATAGGGCTTTACTTTATACATTTGTGGGGTGGAATAAAGAGTTATAGCAGCTTGGTTTTTCTATACTAGATTCGAGGCCTGAAGAAAGAGGAGAACTGACAGGATGGTTAGGACAGGTTAAATCATACCGAGCGTTAGTTGGAGCACAGGTAGTTCTCCTGTTACCTCCACACTGCATCGCCTGTATACCTGGTGACTTAAAAGTGAAGTTGAGATTAGCACCTTCACTTGCTTCTGCGGAAGCTGTGCCCATCGACCCAGGATTCAGGGAAGCTGCAGGAGGGTCCACATGCAGCCGATGCCCCGTTTCATCTGAGCCAGCTGAGCCTCATTGAAACAACACCCCTCCCTTGCAGTGGTGCCTGATGTCTTGAACTGAGCTCCCAGTGTAAAAGGTTGTGGGTGTTGCCTAGTTTCCACCTTTCAAATGTCACCTAGACTACCTCTTTCTGGCTCATAGAAAGTGGACAGGGATGATTGTGGGGGTCTTAGTTTCAATGTAGGCAATATATAAACTAACAAGCCCCAGCAGTCTCTTTTTCTCCCCTGGAACCAAAGACTTCAATACCTTTCCCCCCCAATGTTGTTTTCATCAGATTCCCATCACAGCTTCAGTGCCTGTACCGGATAACATCTCAGGAAGTCTGGTCCAGGTCACCCTTCCTCCAGACACAGTGGATACGATCTTAATTGCTAAGGATATTAAGAGTAGATAATAAGATAATGAGGGAAGCAACAGGCATACGATGTGGTAATTGTCAGTCTGGGGCCTGGAAGCTTTAAGAAAGATATTGAGTAATAGGACTTGGAGGCTTGCATGCTTTAATTCCTTATCCATGGTAATCTGATGGGTATATTTATTAAGATAATTAAGAGTTCATGTTCAAATTTAAACCCACCCGAGAAGACGGGAAGAGCATTTAAGTCATTGTAGCTGGACTATGAATCAGGGTTTCATATAAACCATTTGTGGAAAGTGGTGCAAAGATACATAAACACATAGGTTGATAAACAAAGAGACGCTTGTGTGGAGTGTGAGAGAATTATAATTCCTACAAACTGCCCTTGGCTCTGAAAGCAATTTACTGAGAAACGTTTTACAGTAGGCCACTTTGGAGCCGTTGATAATTAACTAAACAAAGAATTCAAATTATGCTCAACTGATTTCACCAAATTTCCCTAGGGCGTTGTAATCCTTGACATTCTACACTATGATATTGTTGAACCAGTGCCTTCAGCACAAGCACACAAGCACACAGTATATGATTCACATAGTTTGGATTTATTATGTCAAGTGGTAGGAAATCAACAGGTAATCTCTCATAAGTAGTAATTGCAGCTGAGCCTTAGTTGTGAGTACACAGAACCATAATAAACTACCAAATACATAGTTAGGTTTACATAGAATCACTGAGTGAAAACAATTGTATTTTCTTGTAGTAATGATGTAGTTTCACAACCTAATTCAGTAGGTTTATGCATGTATGCAGTGAAGAAGATAAAAGACTGGCCCAACTACTTAGCCACAAAGAATCTGAATGTAGTCATCCGCATGTCTGCGCTGTTGGGGTCCATTTTTTTCTTAGTTCTGTTTGCAGTATGCGGCCCACAGTGACCCTCTGCATCTGTAAACTAGTGTGGGATGCGAGTCAATTTTCCTTTCCCACCGTTAGGTTTGAGAGTCACTCAACATGAGCTGGCAAAAGGCAGTATAGATAGAAAATTCTATGAAATGGGACAGTTAGCTTTGGATTGATTACTGGGATTGATAGTGCTTCAAGGGCTACTGAAAAAAGAAACTCATATCAAAATATGTAAATAAAATAATGTGTCTTGTTTGTGGTCTGCTTCCCTTTTATGATGTAGAACTTTGTTTCCCTACTGTTTACTGAAGACACACATAATCTGATTTTTGTTATAGTTGGACAGTCTGCAACTATAGAAATACTATATTTTTAATTACTTATGTTAATTTTTAGTTTTGCGTCCTTTGCCTTTTCTAAAATTGCTCTGAAAAGCTACATCTGGAGCTGGTGACATGGCCCGCATGGTAAAGGGGGCTGCTACAGCCGAACCCACGTAAAGGTAAGGAGAGAACAGATCCCTGGGAGTTCACTCTGATGCCACAGGCGGGCTGTGGCACCCCTCACACACACTTTAAAAAACCCCGGCATTT